GCAGCTGCACTCTGTTTGCTTTCCTCAGGATAGCCCCAGTGCCAGCTAGGAGCTGCTTTCCCCCTGCTCTGGGGCTCTTGCCTCTGCAGCCTCCAGGACCAGCCCGACCCCCCGGGCCTGTGTTTCTACACTTCCCTGGCCCAGCCCCTGCTGGTCATCCGCCTCCCTGAGCTTCCACAGTGCAGCTAGTTCTGCAGGTAAATCCCCTAGTACCTGTTCCCTGGCATCTCATGAGGAGCAGCTTTCCCTGCCCGAGCATCTCTCTGCTGCTCATTCACCCTTAAAAGAACAGGAGCCTTTGACTCGCTGTTACAATGAGGTATTAGACTAAAGCACTTTCTGTTAAAGCGCTTTATTGAATGTCTGTGCCAGATCCCATCAAGGGTTAAGCTAGAGTGCTATTGCCGCCATCCCAGGGAGCGTTGCACAGGGCTGTACTCTAGCCTTGAGTAGAGCTGTTTTGCTCTGTCTGAGCATCGGGTCAGCCCTGCCCCCTCGGCTCTCACCAACCTGAACCTCACCTCCTCCCTACAGCCAGCTGTGAGCTGCAGCCAGCTGGAGGAGTGGGGGACAAGGGGAGATCTTTCTCCCTGCAGCTACCCTGGCCCTATGGCATGGCACTGCCTGGCCAGGGGAGGTGTGGGGGAAGGGGCCAGGGGCTCCCATGGTGTCTGACCGGGGGATGCATGGATCCCTTTCCTCTGCAGCTCCCATGGGCTGGCTGGGAGGCCTGCCCAGCTGGGGCAGGCACATCAAAAGGTGTCCAGGCTCTCCCTCCCCACAGCAGCCCCAGCTTCGCAACCGCTGTCTGGCCAGGATGGCCTCAGGGGAAAAGGTCTAGGGTCCCAACCCAGCCACTGCTGACAGTCTCCAGCTGGCAGGGGGAGGGCTGGGGAGATGAGCCATTCCAGCAGCCTCCTGAAAGTCATGTGGGAGTGCCCCCAGTGGCTGGTGTGAGCAAGTTCTGAGCCCCCACCCCTCCCCAACCAAACAGTGAACATCTGTTCAATTCGCTTCCACTCTACCTTATAGCCCTTTAAGTAATGTGCAATAGTTGGAGCGCTTCTGCCAGGGGCTTTTTGAACATCTCTACTTAGCCTTAGATAATATCAGGTAGACTCAGAACAAGGAAGTAAATCTTTTTCAAATATACTGAAATGGGTTCTCCATTTACAACTTATTGTGACTACATAATTTACTATTATTTATCTCAAGATCCTTTAGAACTCAGATCAAAGTTGTGTCAGATACAAAATGATTTTTAATATGTCACATGGCATTGTGCTTGTGGCAAGATGTAAAGCGGAGGACGTTACTGTTGAAGAAAAAAGGATGCTGCAGGAAGGTCACCCTGGAAAAGTAGTCTGAACTCCAACAACATTATAAGTTTACTGTGTGATATCCCCAAAGGTTTCAAAATCTTTATATAGTGATATAGAATTGCCTGAAGATAAGAGAATTATTAACCAGGAAAAAAAAGATCTAGGACTGCTCAGGACCATGGTTCTCAACCAAGGTGTTGCAAGAACCTGCCAGAGGCGCTGCGATACTTGTGCTGCTGCTGTGGAAAGAAACTGCCCTCCGCGCACCTTGGTTTTCAGGAGGCATGTCAGACCTGAACTGTGAAAAGCTGCAGCAGAAAAATGTGCTTGCCAGCTTTACATTTACTGACATATTAATTAATAATAAAATGATTTTTATATTACAATATTCATAATATATCTCTATTTATTTTTTAAATGGGGTACCAACTAAATTTGGAAATGTTTTGGAGGAGTGCTTGGAATCTAAAAAGGTTGAGAACTACCTGCTTAGAACATCACTAGAAGGTTATTTGCCCTAGTAAATAATTAAGTCAGGAAAAGAAGTTACATTCAGATGCAAATTTTATCAAAGAAAAGCCTGTATTAATGACCTAAAATAAAGCTATTCTGAGAAATCCAGTTTTAAAAGTGCAACTGATTTTTTAAAAAGATTCAAGCCTCATTTTTGTTCACTTTCAGATGTCTTACTAACAATCAATTGAATTTTCTTCACATTATCCCTATTTAAAAAAAAAAATCAGCTGCTGGGCTGAAAAGAATGAGTAGTTTCAGCCCCAAATTCAATTTTAAGGAAGCTAGATGCAGCTGAATATAGGTATTTAAAATAAAAACCCATCACTTAATCTTAACTTTAGAGATTTTACCATAATACTATAAATATCTCCTTAACCGATCATTTATTTATAATAATCTATTTAAATATTGGTTCCTAAAAGCATAGGTAGAACTGGGCATAAAATTGATATCTTATTTTCTTGCATATATCACACCCCCAAACAAGACATGCACCCTGTTTTGGAAAGGCATAATGAAGATAAAAAGGTTTTTAGTCCAGAATTATGTTTGCATAATGTTTGCTAAGGACAGAGCCTAATCTTTAGCTGTCTCACACACCCTTTACTGCCTGGGGATCTTCAAGAGGAGGTTAGATAGGCATCTGGCTGGGGTCATCTGAACCCAGAACTCTTTCCTGCCTATGCAGGGGGTCGGACTCGATGATCTATTCAGGTCCGTTCCGAGCCTAACATCTATGAATCTATGCTTCACTAAATCTATAACCCTAAGTATTGCTGAACTCCATGGGTGGATCTACGATTTTGAAAAGAGCTCAAGAGTCTCCAGGATTGCAAAATAGGAGGAAGACCACCAGCAGCTGGGCAGATAGTAAAATTGTCATGAGAAAGGTTAGCTTTATTCGTGGAACATAAAGACCATTAAAAAGAAGAGATAAACATTAACACTTGTGGAGTAAAGAACAATGAGCCATTAAGTCAACTGACTCCTTCAGCTTCCTGAATACGGAAAGTTGAGTAAATATATGGTGTGTGAGTAAATATGGTATTTTCCTGGGGAGGAAAATGAACATAAAAGTTCATTTTCACTGTTTTTTTAGTGAAAAAAATTGATTTCTCATTTATAATAATTGCAGAAAAATAAATATTTTCCCCCAAAATATACCAAGCATTTTTAGGAGAGATTTTCCAACCAAAAGAATTGAAAAATAGAATAGAAAGGTTTGACTTCCCGACACATAAAGTGGTATT